ATAGGAACCAGTTGAAAGTGATAACAGGGTTCATGACTGGGCACGCCCCAGTAAAGGGACACTTGAACAAAATTGGCATGTACAATGGGGAACTCATGTGCCGACTATGTCACAAGAAACCAGAAACGGCCAAACACATACTGTGCGAATGCGAAGCTCTTTTTGGACAACCCCAGGTTGATCCAACAACGTATAGAACCCACTCACCCAAGGATCTGTACAAACTTGTACAAGGTACAAAGGTGATAGAGTGGGTGCTATGAACTAACATGGGGTAAAACACAATAAGCCAATAGGCTTCAGTGTTATTCGGAGACACATAGTCAGACGAGCCCAGGAAAAAAAAAATTGAAAAAGTTAAAGTGTAAGAAATAAATTACAATTGTTAGTTAGTGTCTAAATATTACATAAATTAAATAGTACGTCTGAAATAAATTGTAAATAGTGTGTTTTTAAATAAATAAAATTTTTAGGGAGAATTAAAAAATTGTTACCCATTTTTACGTAAAAATTACTTAATTTTTCTTCACAACACTCAATGTACTTTTAATTTCCCACCAGCGGTTGTTAACCCCTAGATTAGATTATATTAGGAGTTGGACGTTATTTATCCTTGTCCACCGCCACCTTTTCAGTTTTATTGTGTGACTCCGTTTGTTTTAGAGTATGTCGTCTAGCCTGGTCTTTTTTATTAGACTTAGTAGTTTTGACAGTGGCTCTCGCATGTAGTTGCATGCAATTGACTTTTCTTTGCCCAAAGTTAGAAACCTCATTCCAGCCAGGACTTCACAGAACCTGCACAAAGTTGCTTCTCCTGCTGGATTTATGACACTCATGTGCCTTTTGAGGCGACAGTGTCCAGTAAGAAGGCCTACTGTTATCTTAACGATTTAACGCTTTTAATCCAGTAGGCCTTTCGTAAACTTGGCCGATGGTTCCTTGACGAACTGTTTGGCCTGTCTCAGTCTTGGATAGTTGTTCCACCATTCCTGAGACTCTTTTTGCATCCATTGTTTAATGGATGCATTGCACAATGCCTTAGCAACTCCACAGAATGGTTTGGGGCCTGTCATGGCCTTATCTGAGCCTTCTAGGGGCTAATTCGTCGGCCTTTTCGTTGCCCTGATATCCCTCATGGCCTGGAACCCAGACTAAGGTCACCTTATTTTGACTACTTAGCTCTGTCAGGTCATCTAGACAGTCTTTCTTTAGAGCTGCTTGGCTATCAGAGTATATGGCAATAGTTTTGCCTGATACTTGCTGATTTAATATTTCTCTTGCACAGTGTTGTATGGCTATTAGCTCAGCCTTGAACACTGTTGCATATTTTCCTAAACTCAGCGAAATCGTTGATTTCGACTTGGGTCCATAGATTTCAGCTCCGGCTCCTTCCTTGGTTTTTTGAACCGTCTGTGTACCAGACGAGTTCAGCCTGTACAGGAGGTCCCTGTTTCCAGGATTCTCGGGCTGGTATTTGAATTTGACAATTTCTTTCAAATTTGTAAGTAGTTATGGCTCTATCAGTAGGCATAGCTAGAATATTATCCCTTTTTACTATATTACTTATATAGCTGTCAATTTATGTAGAGCAACGTTTGGTATATTATTATTAGCGTTTTGTGAAAATTGCAGTATAGTTAAGTAGTTGTATTTAATTAAGTAATAATTAGAAATTTGATAGTTTTAAAATATGTATTACATGAAAAAAATTACATTGCGTTATTCGTAAATGTTATTGAACGTTCTTGCATCTGGCTGTCAATGTCAATAAAGATAATTTACGCCTACGTATTATGCATCGTTTAATTTCTTAGTCTTTTATTTAAACATGTTATTTTTTGTTTTTCAAACGATTCGTATTAAAACAGTAAACAAACAATAATACAAAACAATAATTAAAATATATATGACAAACTCATTTCGAGGAACCAATAAGTCGCTGCTATCAAGATGCAATAGAAATTCCTACAGTACTTCTGGATACGTAACGTGTATAGGGTGGGTTACCCCTCGGCACTTAGGCCTTACTATGCCCATTGTGTATTCTCCTAAAATGAGCCAGCCTACAGATTTAATGTAGATGACAACGTCACCAAGAGGTGCTTCTCTTATATCGGCCGGTGTTAGCCAATACTTGCCGAAAACAAATCTTCTAATAAATGAGAGCTACTGGCAATCGTAGAGGATATGTTCAATGGTCTCATCTTTTTGTTCACATACCGTGCAGGGTGCAGATTCTAACAGCCCCATGATATGGAGATAATTCCGTACTTGGCAATGACCAGTCAGAATGCCTGTGATCAGACGCAAATTCTGTCTAGTCATAGTCAAGTATTTGTTTGTTGCAGTGTTGTCAGGATAACTTAAAAGATCCCTGGTAACTCAGCAGTTTTTTGTTTCATCCCATCTTTCCTTCAATTTCATAAGGGAATATTCTTTAATTAGGTCTGTCACTACCGATGTTGTCAGTCCAATAGAAGGTCTAGGTCCAAAAAGTATTTGGTTGGCCGCCTTCTTGGCAAGTGAATCAGCAATAAGAGGCTACCTTTCGATGTGGTGTCACCTTTGATCCATCTTAAGGTGACCACATTGTTGAAAGGATACTCTTGCCAAAGCTTCGTGACATTCTAGTACTAACGCTAGTAAATTCGTAGTCTGTTCAGGGTAAGTAGTGCTTATCTGCTATCTGTATAAATGAGTATGTTCCTACCAGTAATATTGTTTCTGGTGATTTCTTTTGCTGGTATAAGAACTTCTGTGAGCTCCTCCGTAAACTACATTGGCACTATTGCTCACAGCCCATTTTATGTTGGGATTTAAGGAATTGGAGTATATTCCACATCATGAGCATTGTTTTGTTTTAGAACTGTCGGTGTAGATATGAATCGTACCTGCCATTTCCGGCTCTTCTATTCTGTTATAACTTCATATGGCTTATGGAAGATATATATCGGTGAGGTGAAGTTCATGTTCGCTTGAAGCAGTGGGAGCGTATTGAGCGCTTATTGCCAAAAGCCACGTCTCGCCTCACCAAATCTTACATCAGGTTCTATTCCGACCGTGCAGAGGCGTGTCATTGTCATTTGTTCTATTTTGCGGATAGCTGCCAATTTTTGGATTTTCGGTACCCAGACAACTGCACCGTATGTTAGCATAAGTCCTACGATGGCCGGGTAAGTCCATGTGACTCCCGACTCCGGGGGAGAAACCCCAGATGCGCCCCACGGTTCGCTGGCATTGTTTATAAGTAATGTATGCTCTTTTGACTCTGTTTTCTAAGTGTGAGTTCCATGTTAACTTGTTGTCAAAGGCGCTTCCTTACAACAGAGGTGAAGTACTTCACCTCTGTTGCAAAGTTTTGTTCTGTGTTTAGGAGCTCTGTAGGTTTTTTCCCATTTTCATCATTTTCCTAGTGAAAAGGATTATTTCTGTCTTCTTGAGATTGATAGACAGTAAATGGTCCTTGCACCAGGTCATCTGCTTTTACTATTGTGTAGTGACTGTCATTTTATACCTACAGTACTTATTTCGTTATTAAAATAATCTATTTGATATAATGAACATAGTAAGAATTTTATGTTTGTTATTGTTACTTTAGTATGTGTTTTAATTCTTATGAACCAAACGACAAAAACTGATTAATTTTCATACGTTTCCCAGTGTATTAAGTTCCCTTGCTTTGGTACATATGAAAACTCATTCAGTTTCGCTTCTTGGGTAGGTATTCTTTGACAAAATATATTCTGTGGATATCTCTGGGATTTGGTGTGTTGTCTGGATGGCTTCTGTGACGAATGGGATAACTGTGCTGTTTAGTACTAGTAGTCTTAGACCTGTAAGTACCCGTTTTTTGTGAATGTTACAACTTGTTTTTTTGTGCGTTGATGGACAATTGTTCCTTTTTGCACCAGTTGTTCACTATGTTTAGAGCTGTTTGAGATCGCTCCGAAACTCTACCTGCAAATCGCCTCCTGACGATAATTGCTAGGTCGTCTGCGTATCCTAGGCACTGGTAGCCTTCTTTGAACAATATTTTGAGTAAGTCGTCCACAAGAACTGATCACAGCATTGGAGATAGTATTCCTCCTTGTGAGCAGCCCCGTGTAACTTTTGCCTGTATGGTTGCCTTTCCTAGAGTGGATAAAATAATCCTGTTCTCTAGACAGGCAGTGATCCATTTGCATATTGTAACTGGGACGTTTCTCCTTTCTAGAGCCTTGGTTGTTAACCCCTAACTTCAAATAGCAAGCAAAATACAGTGGTGCCATTTTTTGCAGTGAAGTGAGGGACTATTATCAGAACAAGAGTTACTTCTCCTTTATCCGATTTGTACCTCGACTAGCAGCGCTTTCCTTCTCCCTGTGCTTTACCCACACGCCAAATAACAATGCCTCGATTATTTTACGAATGAAAGTGGCTGATATTCGGCTCGAAGGACCAAAAACATGGTTAAATGTGTTTCATTTTATATTAGTGTTTGAATGGACTGTATTAATTGAAGAAAGGAGAAATGCCGTTACTTATAATAATACTTTTTATTTGATGTTTGTAAACAATCTATGTTTTTCATTATGTATCAGTGACAATCATAATATCCATATTCAGTGGGGGAACAATTATATGGGTAAATTACGACAAATAAAACTAATGTACAACAACTTTTTTGTCATATTCTCATAAGAAAAAGACTCGAAAAATATTTTTTTTTTGACTATTAATAGAAGCGCACTGTTGTCACATTGTTTAAAAGAGTAAATATATGGAAATTCCGTACTTTTTAATGGATAGATTGTAAGTAAACGAAATATAAATAACAATAAAGAACGAATTGGAAATTGTGGATTATAGACGGTCCAATAAGTTTTAAGCATAATAATCATAAACCGCAAATTTTTTAAATATTAATAAGCATGTACTGACTACATATTTCGTTATATCGCCATTAGGATATCACATAGAGAAAAATTTTTTTAAAAACTATTGGAAATAAAAGGCACATAAACTTAAAAATAAAATTTATTACTTACAAAAAAAAAAACAACAAAATGGACATCACAAACAAATCAATTACGATAAATATACCTCAAATAAATATCGTTTGTTTTTTAATATAAAAATCTATTTTTGTACCCATACGGGAGCAGCTATCGCTCCAATATTCACTCTTTCTATTAAAATCAATTCTTCCATCACGTTTTCAGTATTGTAAAACTTGTGCAGCTCATCGATAGCCTTGTCTTCAATCTAAAATAAAAACAAAAATATCTCCTTACAGTATAACTTGATTAGACAATTGACAAGTGAAGTTCAACCACTTCTGTCATTACCGTCAAAAATTACAGTTTAAAAAGTTTGACTTCAGTTTTATCAACAGGTATCGAGTGCTATAAATGTAATTTTGGTCGTGTAACTTAACAATTGACAAATGACGTTTAACCACTATTAATTCTTCAAACCTTACGGTTTAACGTTAATATGTTACCAGGCATTGATAACAATTGTCAATAGTATCGTGTACTTTTGGTGGTATAACTTGACATTTTACAATTGATAAGTGACGTTTAACATTGACATCTTTACATTAAAGTTGTTTTAATGTCATTGATAACTCTCAATAGTGTATTTTTCGTTGATTTTATACCTGAGTGTACATAAGAGGTCTTGTAGTTAGTTTGAATAAGTTCTCTTTCTGCCTTTTTTCGTCTGATATTATGTTGCTAATGTTATTCGATTCTCCAGCTGTTATCGGACTCGTAGTTTCCGGAATGATTTTCCACGGGTTTTTGGGCGTTACTGGATAATAAACAAAAAAATATACTGTAGATTGTCGTTGACGATTAATAAAAGATACTTACCCGGAGCAGGAGGACTTTCAATCGTTTTACTCTCAGACGCCAATCTCTTCCTCTGCTTCTGCGATATTTTCACCATCTTAATCCTTCCCTCGTGCTTATTAGGCGATAATCGATTACTAAACGGGAACGTGGGACTTCCCGAGGACCCCAGCATCGGATAATAATCTTCTAGAACGCTTTCCTCCCTAACAACTCGATTAGCCAAATGAATCGATCGTAACCTAGCAGGCATATCGATTATTTCCGGTATCGATGCTTCCGGTTCATCGGGAAACTGTATAAAACTGTCAAAGCTAGAATCGTTATCGGAAATCGATATCGAATTCGATTTCTCCGAATTGCGGTGTTGTCGGTGCCGTTTCTTCTGCACCGGTTTGACAGGCGTCACTTCTACTTCGTCGGTCAACGATACCGGGTACGCGCTCGCTATGGATTCGATAATTTCGTCCTTTTCTGCCGTCGAATAGGGTGTTATCACTCTACACTGTATAGCTTCCTTTTCTTGGAAATAAAACTCGGATAGTTCTTTGAGTAAATCATCTTCGAGTTCGTCCAAAGCTTTCGATTCTAAAAGCGGGGTTATGTTGGCGGTTATGAATTTCATGCAGCAGTATTTAAGTTTTTCGGCCGTGTAAATGTAAGCGAACGACAGTATCTGTACTGCGTTTTTTAGAGTGAGCAAATCGGATAGTAAACATTCGCATTGCTCCTTCAGTCTGGTTACGAACAATTGGTCTGCTAGTATTAGAACGTTAAATAGATGATCGGTATCTAGAGAGTTGAGTTTTACGAATGTATCGGTATATAAGTGGTCCAAAAGAGCTTCGGTGGTTGCTTTAGGAAATGGCAGAGATACTTCAGTGATATTTTCCTGTAATTAAATTGTTTTATTCGAATGTGTCAAAAAACATCGTTTTTTCGGATAGAAAACATAGTCGAAAAGTAGAAGTTTTGAATATACTTCATAAAGTACTTTATCGGCTATGGCGTCTAAAGTTAACAACTTTATAAAGTGTTGCATACAGTAATTAATTCGAAATGTATTAAGATAAGACCAGTATGGGTACAATAATAGCTTCTTTAACCCACTCTGATGCAGGGAAGTTGTATAATTGTGTTACATAGTGGGACATTTGAATTTACCGCTGAAATTTCCCTTGTCACTAATACAGTTCCGGCGGTATGTCAAATGTCACACTTGAGGAGACCATTCTGCGTAAACTACAAAATTCATTATATAAATAAACCTAAATCCCTAGTTATATAAACTTTACATGGTGGCAGCTTAGAGAACAAGTGGACAAGTTTTACGTTATTAAAACCTCGAAAATAATTGCTAAACAAGAAAAAAGTTGAAGTTAGAAACTGGTACACCTAAATTAAAACGATGTCGTTCAAACAACCAGAACAATTTAACCCAGTCTTGGGAAATGTGGAGACAGAGTTTTGAATTGTACATGGATGTCGAGGATTTGAACAGCAAGCCGGTGGGACAACAACGATTAACCCTTCTTTACGTTTTGAAGAAGGAGAAGAACTCGCAGGTGATGCTATAACTGTTAAAAACATACTGGACAGTTTCTTCACATATACCAGATCTTTATCGGTTGTAAGCAGTAGGGTTAGGTTTGGCCCAGAACACTGCGGCCTCTTGGGTCTATTGTATTCCCCTGCTTTCCTCGTATTCAGGTACTATCTTTGGAATAGTCCTGTGTCTTTGGTTAGTTTTAATAGGTTCCCTACCAAGTGTTCCTGGGGCGTTCTTTCCGGTTCTAGACCGAAAAGGATGAAATGTCGCTCAGTAAAAGCTTCGCATTCGAAGATGACATGGTATAAGGTTCCTTCCTCTTCCATGCAGAGTCTTCACGCAGTGGAATCATTGTGTAATCCCATCACATGAAGGTGTTTCAGCAAGCAGTGCCCTGTTAGTAATCCCAAAATGGTGGGTATCTGAGGCCTTGCGAGTTGTAGTGCCTCAGTAGTCATGCGTGGGTTTGGTCCCCATAGCATGATTCTGTGCCCTCTTATCTGTTGCCAGTGAATTTGGCGTTTTGTGGTTATCCACCTGTTCACTGCCTTTCCAAATACAGATTCGGATCCTGTGAATTGTAGATCTGATCCCTCTTTGGCGAGTTCATCAGCCTTTTCATTTCCTTTGATACCTTTGTGCCCTGGTACCCATGCTAGTTTTGCCTTGTTGTGGATTGCCAGATCATTTAGTATTCCAAGGCAGTTCCAGAAAAAACTTTGACTTGATTCTGTTTGATTCAAGAGCCTTTAAGGCTGCTTGGCTATCTGAGAGAATTAGGATGGTTTGTTTTTTGTACTTCCTTCTTAAATTCTCTCGTACACACAATTCGATTGCATGTATTTCAGCATGAAATATAGTGGCATGTTTTCCCAGTGAGACGATGATGTCGCATTTGGGTTTAACTCCATGTACGCCTGAGCCTGTTCCCTTGTTAGTTTTAAATCCATCCGTATACCAAACAAGACCGCTAAGCAAGTATTTATCTATCTCCTTATTTACCTCGTTCCAGTTACAGTTGACCTGGAAGAGTCTGTTAAAGGTTAGGAAGGGTGTCCTGTGATCTGATCCTATATTTAATATAGAATCATTTACTTCATGTTATTCTGGTATGTTTTATATGTCCCAGTGGGTTCGAGATTTTCAGTCTATATGCACTCATTCTTGCCTCCCCTTTTATGACTAGGTCAAGGGGTGGGAGGTTTAAAATGATTTCCATAGAGACTGTCGGTGTACTTCTCTGTGCTCCTGTAATACAAAGACATGCCAGCCTCTGTACTCTTGAAAGGGTATTAAGGGCCGTTTTCTGGTTTACTTTTGGCTACCAAACAACCGCTCCATAAGTTATAATGGGTCTTATTATTGCCAAATATAGCCAGTGGACCATTTTTGGGTTTAATTCCCATTTTTTCCAAATGTACGTCTCCCTACAATGAGAGACATTTTACATTTGTTGGTCACTTTCTTTTTGTAAGTGTTGTTTCCAAGTAAGTTTGCTATCTAGGATTAGACCCAGATATTTTACTTGGTTCGTTTTGTTTAGCCTTCCTTCAGAGTCGGAGTTTCTAAAACCTTCAACCTTGTTTTCCGAGTAAAGGTTATGAGTTGTGCTTTGTCAGGATTTACCAAAAGGTTTTCCCTAATGTACCACATTTCTGTTAATCTAAGAGCTCTTTGTATGAGTTCAAAGACTGTGGTTTGGTGTTTCCCTCGGATAAGGATGACTATGTCATCGGCATATCCTTGGGCGTACAGCCTTTGATTTTTTAGTATATTCAGCAGTTCATCTGCCATTAGGTTCCACAGTAGAATAGAAAGGACTCCACCCTGTTGGAATTCCCTGTAGATATTCACTTGCATGGTTTCACTGAACATTTGTGCCTGTACTTGCCGTCCGCATAACATATCTTCCATCCACCAGCAGATATTGTCTTCTATTCCATGTTTGTGAGCAGCAGCTACCATTGATTTAAAGAAGGTATTATCAAAAGCTCCTTCTATGTCAAGAAATGCTCCTAGGACTATTTCTTGGCTACTGGGTCCTCCCTCTATCTTGGTTACAAGAGGAAACTCACAAAATGTTCCTGATTGATAGGCATGTTGGTTTGTATGAAATGGTCTCTCTATCAGAGTGGTTTTCCGGACATGCTTGATCAATCAGGTTTTCCAATCCTTTCAGTAGTGTTACTGCCAAGCATATTTTTATATATTGTCAATTCACGTTTGAATTTACGCGCCGTTGCGTACGGACGGAGTGGCAACATTGTGCAAAGCCACGACGAGACGCGATCGATGAAAAGGGTCTCCGATCAATTGATCATTACCAACGATTTGTTCCTTACCGTTCTTAAAGTTTTGTTTCTTGTAAAGTTTCATTATCTGTCAATAAATGTTAGAAAAGTGTTGAAAGGATTTTAATTACAAACAAGACACAGGGTTGAGCATTCGTCAGCCCATACCAAGTAGAAATGACGTCAGAGTTATTGATCTATATGCCTTTGCCACGGCATACGTTGGACAACTCTGTTTTATTTCCAGGCATTTGGTACATATTTATGCACCAAAAATGAGTTTTAAGAAATAGTTCTAATGTTTCCATTCCAGTTTTAGTGTATCTCCTTATTTAAATTTTTGTAACATAAACTACTATAATGTGTTTTACTTAGAATTTAAATTATATGTTATTATTATAAACGTCATTTATCGTCAGTTAAGGTGATTACGACGAAACTAAAAGTGTCCAAACGGTTGCATTACACATTTACGTCATTCGTTAAACTAGAGCTAGAGCTGTCAGTTTTTTAAATAGCTTCATTTAAATGATATAAAAACGTTTTCAATACGTCAATCTTTAACTATAAAATTACTGACTTCAAATGAATCAAAGTATGACTCTAAATCTTCATTTGAAATGAGAATTTCGCTAAGAATCGCAGCAGAGTTGCGCTACAAGTCCTCAACAATGTGAGAGGCTTTCTCAACTGGTTAGAAATACTCTCACTTGTGACGTTCGAACTGAGTATGCTCGGGCGCCAGTTTGTTTTAAACTGGTTTACTCCACTTTACCTATTCGAACTAGTTCCAAGAAGGGCTGCAGGTAGCTGCAGTGAAGAAAGAAAATTCTAGAGGGTCAACGATATTTCAGTAGTTATATAGTACCTATCGGAAAAGTATACAACGGAAAGCAAATGATTTTGAAATTAATCGAAATTAAAACGTAATCGGAGCTCGGACTGTCTATCTCTCAACTATTCGCGGCCAACAGTTAAAATTGAATGAATTTCCTCGATTTTCGACTGGTCCACGTTCTACAGCTTTCGCGAGGACGGTAGTGGGGACGCGATAGATTAACAGCAACATGAGATTTAACATAAAATCGATAATTATTTGCAAATTGCGGGAATTTCTGAAAATAATAGTTTAAAAATTGGGGAACTTTAAGAACAAGGGTTGATCCAGTTAATTAAAAATAGGAATGATTTTTTAGTTCTGCTAATTAGCTAACAGAGACGAAAAAATTTTTGTTTAAAATACTCGAAAAACTACCTCTCTAGGAAATGACTATAGAAAAGCCATGAAAACACTTGTTACATGCACATGTGACGATGTGAAGTTAAGAACTCTTACTGATTTTCAGTTCTGACGCGATAACTAGCTTCTTCTCTTTTCAAACAGAAGGACGTGACGTACCTTCCTTGAAAATACAAAGGTCTCGCGCCAAAATTAGGAAACTGTTTTATGAAATAATGAACATAATAGAAAAATATTTAAAACAATTTATAAAAATAAATAACATTCTTTAACTAGCTAACAGTAGTTTATTGCTTGGGCCAAGCCGGGAATATTTGATCCATTGCAATTTGGAGATCAGGTGATCTCTTAACACATGGTGGAAATATGAGAATTAAACAATTAATGCTTACTTGAAACCAACAGGGGCGGGTTTAGTTAGTAATTAATTTGAAATGTATTAAGACAAGATCAGTATGGATACAATAATAGCTTTTTTAACCCAAGCTCTGTTGCAAGGAAGTTGTATAAATGTATGTATGTGTGGTTTAGGTGTAGTTAGGTTACATAGCTAAAATAAGTGTCACTTAATACGTTAAAAGGTGCTGACTTAGACTAAAAGTAACTATTTTCGTCTAAAGATCTATATTAGAACTTTATTTCGATTATGGAACTGGCTGTTAGTTATATGAAGCTTTAAAGTGTACTTTTTCAATAAATTTGTAATATGAAATCGATATAACATTTAATATTGAAGCCCCCTTTACAAAATTGGCTCTGAACAAGTTATTAACAGAAATAGCAATCAAATAGTTTCGTTAAGACTTACCCCGTTCCATCTCATGAACATGCTGTTGAAATACTCCAATCTGGCCGCCAGTACGCACTTGTGAGCGTTCAGAGTTTTATTATCGCGACATTTGACAGTCACGTCGTAGAATTGCGGCAAATCCGATCTGTCGAACGTCAATTTTGGAACGGGACGATTAGCGGTCTTGTTTTTGTCGTAAATTTGGTATTTATCCATCTCTAAGTTTGCGAGGATTTTCAGCAAAGACGATATCTCGAATTTTTTCGCCAGTTCGTGAAGAATACGAACTGGGTTTTTTAGATTTTTCGTATTGCTCTTGTTTTCTTGATTTTTCGATTTTTTCTTGTAAAATTCATATGCCGATATACTGCTGTTATCATCATCCTCAATGATATCGTTAATATTGGTGTTATTTTCTTTTTCTGTGACATGGCATAATTTTTTCAAACCCTCGTTTTTCAATACCCCGCATTTCGTTAATTCGCACTCCCCCGTATAAAAATACAACAAAATTTGTCTAAATATATCCGGATTGACGTTAGTTAAAGTCAACTTGTCCTGATTTCCTATCAAATTAGCTAAATAATGACTAGATTTGGCAACTATGTATTTGTGAGCGGGGAAATGTTTTCCTTCTACTTTGAAGGTTATGTCGTGAATCGTATCTTGTTCGTCGATTTCTTCGTAGAGCTGCGTGAAATGTTCCTTCAATTGAGACTTTTCTATATCGGGGAAAACGTAGTTTTTAAAAGGGGGTGCCTAAAATGAGTTTTAATTTAAAAAAAAGTAATTTTAACTTGTCACTTATAACAAAGGACCATGCTATTAAAGGAACTTGGACGGTGGAAACTCCGTTCAAGAAAAAACCAGCCTTTAAATCCAAAAGAAGAAAAAAGCAAGTAGAGAAAGGAAACAAAAAAGACTCCCTCAAGTCAAGGTGGAACAAAAAGAGCCAGGAATGCTTCAGCATTGAATGACACGTACAATCCGGCTATCTGTCATCAACAGAATCCATCCGGACACTGTACTGGACAAAGACCAGGCAAACTTGGTACAAGAGGCATTGGTGGAATAACTGTACACTGTCCCCTTAGGCTATGGAATGGAGCGAATTTAACTGTGACCGAATCCAATTACCTTCCGATACGATCAAGAGGGTCGATCTTCATCCAAAATAGACAGAGCCAGGGGACTTATTCAGCTTCAAAATCAGGAGCTGAAGACGCAGGACTGGCTGCTGATGAGTCAGAAGATTGTAAAGTATGATAACTCCTAGTCTTTTCAATCGATGAGGCCCTAGCATCGTCACAATCTCCGGGTCTATTATAAACTAGGAAGGGTGACCTTTAAAGTATTAAGACGACCTGATGAAGAATATCAGGATGCTACAGATCAACCTCCAGCATTCAGGTTGCTTTGGCAGTACTTTCAGCTGCTATGAAGAGGTTTGAAGTACAGAACATTCAACAAGGCTAAACAAACAGGGCGATGAGAGGAATATAGCACCATATGGACCAGTTACAACTAAGCCTTACGGAAAGTCAAGAAATATTCCTGGAGGAGGCACTGTGAGGAGATAGAAAGCAACTCAAGAATGTGTCAGGCTACAGTAAATCCTTTCAAAAGACAAATAAAACATAATAAACTGTCTTAAGAACGAATTATGACAGTGCACCAGAACAGGGAATAAAACGATAAAAGAACTCTTTATGGTTCATTTTCCTGGGTAACAAACCATATAGTCCAATTGAACTAAAAACTTGTAAAGGAGCCAACAGCGAAGACTGGCAAATTATGACTATGGGTAATCAATATTTGAATAAAAATCGTCACAATCTTCAGGTCTATTATAAGCTGGGAAGGGTGACCTTTAGAGTCTTAAGATGACCTGATGAAGAATATCAGGATGCTACAGATCAACCTCCAGAATTCAGGTTGTTTTGGCAGTACTTTCAGCTGCTATAAAGAGATTTGAAATACAGAACATTCAACAAGGCTAAACAAACAGGGCGATGAGAGGAATATAGCACCATATGGACCAGTTACAACTAAGCCTTACGGAAAGTCAAGAAATATTCCTGGAGGAGGCACTGTGAGGAGATAGAAAGCAACTCAAGAATGTGTCAGGCTACAGTAAATCCTTTCAAAAGACAAATAAAACATAATAAACTGTCTTAAGAACGAATTATGACAGTGCACCAGAACAGGGAATAAAACGATAAAAGAACTCTTTATGGTTCATTTTCCTGGGTAACAAACCATATAGTCCAATTGAACTAAAAACTTGTAAAGGAGCCAACAGCGAAGACTGGCAAATTATGACTATGGATAATCAACATTTGAATGATACAAATCATCGAAAATTGACGGGATTTATCCAATAATACTACAAAGAAGACCTGATTTTTGACACAGAAGACTTGGCAGCATATTCTAAAGCAGCCTGGTCTTTGTATAAATACAAAGGGAATGGTGAAACATTAGAGTCACTTTTAAAGCAAAACTCTAAGACCAAAAAGTCAAAACTGTAGAGAAACTGCTAGATAGACATAATGGAGACGGGAATATTGGTTCAAAGACAAATAAACTAGTGCTATAGTGCAGAAAAATTAACAGACATATCTCTCCATCAATTAGTAAAGAGGTTGGAGAACACATTGGAAAACAAGGAGATAGAGGTAATGTTAGGAGCCTTCTTAGATATTAAGGAAGCATTTGTCAATACCTCCATTGAATACTGTCAGAATACCGAAACAGAAAAATCGAGGACACCTGTATGACCTGGATTGACTCTAAGCTAACCATTATGGGAGAGAAGATAGCAGCTCGGGTTGCGAGGGAGGAATACTGTCTTTACTCCTGTGGAACATGGTCATGGATGGGCTACTTAAGGCTCTCAAAAATAATGAGACATAAAAACCTGAAATATGCCGATGATCATGGCAAAGAATAAATACAACACTGCAGTTAGAAATCGTATGCAAGAGGCTTTAAACATAGTAACGGAATGGATGAAAAAGGAATAACTAAAACTTAGTCCCAAGAAATCTACCATAATTCCATTCACGCTCTACTTATTAAATAGATGATTAAAAATACATTTTACTATAGTTAGCTTACCTGTATGACACAAAAGTCCCGTCCTTTGAGATCGCTGTTCATCGATACAGCCCGATGAATTTTGCTAATTTTCTGCAACGACACCACCACGCAATCCTCCTTATCCAAGAACACGTGAAAAGGACTTTTTTTGCTATTCTTTTCAGAAGAATTTGGCGTTTTTATAATACTACCAGTGCCGCCGACGGCTTTCTTTTTTCTGGGCTTAATGAAACCTTTAAAAGCCTCGCCGTCTTCAGACACCAACAACAGTTCGTTCAATTGCATCGAGATTTGTTTCATTACTACGGCGCGATTTATCGAGTAAATGCATCTATATAAAAAAAAGAATCGAGTAATATAAAGTAAATTAGCTGCGAAAGATCTTGCACATGGCGAATATGCTCACATCACATCATCAGAAATGCCAAAAGTTTTGTAAATATTGCCAAATATATAGAACAGGATATTTAACAATCTTTTGGAACTCGACAACATCATTGGGGGCGGTGTTGAGAACCGTTAAAACAACTTTTAATAGTAAATGTGATATGGAAGAAGTTGAAGAACAAAACCAGGACACGATATTATCATCATATCACAATAATTGTTCATTATACTGCACAACAACTTCGAGGAACACCAAACTCACTAAATTCAGAATGAATTAGTGGAGGAAAGACACCGAAACATTCACAGAGTACCACAATACTCTTTGGAAATATCAGGGGGAATCTAAGAGAGACAACTAAAGATGTAGATTCCATCGCATTCTAGCAAATTATAAAGATGGCGCCGTCTGAGGACGACGTGGAAAATGCACTCTCTGCTATAAAGGAAGATAACTTTAAAGATAAATCTTTTAAATGTTGTCAAACTAAAATTAGTAGAAACCTAGTGTGTGTAAATTGTGGAAACTTGTTTCACCTCTCCTGTTCAGTGAAAAACAAGATAGAATTCATAAAAGTGTCATTCAAAAATCGTCTGCTGCAACCTAAAAAAATACAATCAATTGAGGATTAACAAAAGGATCAAACTAATTTGGTTATGCAGATTGTCTGACCTCGGCATACCCTATCAAGGTTATGCCGACGACATAGTCATATTTGCTAGTGGCAAGTTTAGTAATATCCTGTATGACATAGTCCAACGAGGACTAGATCATACCAAAAGATGGTGCCGTGAAGTGGGACTTATTTTAAACTCTACAAAACCAACACTAGTAGCCTTTTCAAGGAAAAGAAAACAAAACCGTTAAATTAGACGGAATAGATATAGAATGGAAAAATGAAGTCAAATATCTAGGCCTAACCCTGGACAACTACTACTTGCTTCAGGACTAAAGATACCTGGGACATGCCCCAGAATGAAATGCTAAAGAAGTACAGTTTTGTGAAACAAAACTACAGAGCTGGGCTGCAAGAAAGAATGGAGCCAAGAGTCCATCGCGCTTGCAACCGAAAGACGTGCTATTCAGTGGTATACTGATGGTTCCAAAACCACAAAAAGAACTGGAATAGGAGTATATGACCGAGGACCAAGCACACCGAAAGCTTGGGAAAATACCCAAGCATCTTTCAGGCGGAAATTCACGCCATCGAGAAATGTATCCAGTTTAACATCGAGAGAAACTATCATAGATTAGAGATTATCATCATGACCGATAGTCAATCAGCCATCAAAGCACTGAGCTCTTACGTAATCAGCTCAAAAATGGTCTAGAGATGCCTAGAACAATTGAATGAGCTAGGCGAGAAAAATAGAGTTAATCTCACTTGGGTCCCGGGACATAATGCAGTACAGGGTAACGAGATTGCAGATAGTCTTGCAAGGAAAGGGACTCAAACACTTTGTAGGACCTGAGCCGTCCTGCGGTATCAGCAGTAACATAATATTAGGAGAGATTAAAAAAGAATTGGGTAGTAGAAGAACCGATAATTGGAACAATCTCTTGGGGCTGAGACAGGCCAAGATACTTCTGGGTGAATATACTGCCATCCTAAAAACAAATGCTGTATCTACTGAGAGCGATAAGTGAAGAAAATGGGATTTAAAGTTATTTCCTTAGCCCTTAAGTATTCAGAGCTGGCTAATTAATATGTTGGATTTTTAATATCTTGAAAACTTATACAACAATTCTGCTTGGCAAAAAGTTAATTCAACTTTCCACGAACCCATTGATGCAAAAATATTAAAATTTAATTTTTGTAGATACGGCATCTGTTTTTAGGACGGCAGTATAACCAGAAAAGATCGGAAGCCTGCATCTGCCTGAGCAAGAACAGGCTACCTTTTGTAACAGGGATCTTTACCGAGCATTGCCGACTAAAAGGACACCTAAGTAAACTAAGAGTAGTAGAGGATAGTTAGTGCAGATTCTGTGAGGAGGAGGACGAAACCTCCATTCACATCCTAACTGAATGTGTAGCTCTCCAGAATCCAAGGGCACTATATCTAGGAGGATATCAAATAGAAGAGGGAGATTTACCGAACTTCAAACCCTACACTTCCTTGAGAAAATAGGATTGGAAGGGTCGTTATAGGCATTGAGACATTTCCTTAGTGCATTAGCGACAGAAGGGGACACAATAGATCTTTTAGGTCGCAATGTATTAACACACCCCATTCCCAACATAACATAATGCATTAGACATTCCCCAAGGCACATTGCTTGGGCCAATATTCTTTATAATTTTTATAAGCGACATTTCAAACACTTGTGAAACATCAGATAAAGTTGTTTTTTATGCGGACGATGCCAATATGAGAAATGTGTCAGTACCCTAGTAGAAAATGGAAATAACATCACACTGAAATTTGAGGGATATTGTGAGGAAAATGGCATTTTGCTAAATTGCGAGAAAATCTTATATATGAGGTTTCTACCTAAAAATAATACTCCTGACAAAGATTTCTGGAAAATCAATAGAAAGTACTCAATCAATAAAATTTCTAGGTCTAACTCTTGATCCTAAGGTAACGTGGGAACTTCATATCAATAAGCTATGCTCAAAGCTGAGTAGTACCTGCTTTATTCTGAGAAGTCTTAGGGATAAAGTTTCCATTAACATCTTCCGAATATTATATTTCGAACTGGTACAATCTCAGTTACAGTATGGCTTGTTGGTGTGGGATTCCTCCTCACATGCATTCATCATGCAGAAGAAAATTGTAAGATGTATGGATAGATCTCATCCATTAGCAAGCTGCCGAAATCTATTTAGAAAATTCTAACAGTGCATTCTTTATATATTTTACAATTAATACTGTATATCTATGATAACAAGAATCAGTTCACCTTAAACAATGAAATTCACTCATATAATACCCGCCATAATGATGACATTCATGCACCCTTTTCAAGACTGATAGTGAGTCAGAATTCTCCCAATTACATTGGGGTTAAATGTTTCAATAAAATGAAAACGTTTATTGACTTAATCGGCACAACAGCATAAAGAATAAAATTATTAACTTCCTCTACAATAACACATTTTACCATATTGATGAGTTCCTCAATTTTTGAACTATACAATGAAGGTATCATAATCTGTTAACCAGGTCATTTTCTAAATTTTAAATTGTATGTTTCTTTTAATAATATAAGTGTATATAATTGTTTATTATTTTTTAAGATAATTGTTTTTAAAAACAATTAGTTTTGTTTAAACTTGACTAGCCTAATAAGTGGCTTTCACTATGTGAATGTCCTTTTATGGTGAATAAATTGACTTGATTTGATCCTAAAAATCTTATGGGCACTCCAATAATATTACTGATGCTATTAACAAAGAATCATTAATCGCTATAAGTGAAATAACATCAACAATATAATAATAATAATAATAATAATAATAATAATAGTTTATTTTGCATTTACGGTGTACAATAGAATTACATCAATAAAAAAAAAAATAATTACGCAAATACAAAAAGAGAACGTCCAGACAGTTAAAACTGATACAAAGTGGACGCCCTCGGTTATGGTTTTGTTCGCCAGTCGCCAACCCCGGATAGCCCCAAGAGTTAACAAAAGTATTAAAATATTAAAATCGTTTTAAGTACTTATATCCTCTCTACTTGAAGACTATCCGAAGACGGCGGCAAACGTAGAAACTAAACAAGGGTTTTTATACCTATAAGTTACAATGTTTGAATTGTAAGAGATAAAAATAAAAATATATAAAAAATATATATTTCACTCGCTCGACACACACCAGGGGGTCGATTCTCGACTCGTAGGAATCCTTTCCTATAGGAATTTTTGACATTTTTCTACACATCGGAAATTTATGACATTTGTCTACATGTAGGAAAGTGTCACAAATTCCTATAGGAAAAGGTTCCTACAAGTCGAGAATTGACCCCCAGGTCTCAAATTCCAAAATTATATTTTGTTTAAAGGAGGATGAGTACATAAATGCTAAGCGGTTTATAGTCTAATTAATTAATCTCCTATACGACTTTTTAAAGGCTGATAAATTTAATAATTTAATAGTTGCGGGAACTTTATTATATAAATTGTATATTTGAAAAGAAAATGATCGCTCGAAGATGGAAGTGCGATGTAATGGAGGAGAAATCAAGCCACGATGTCTTACATTTAAATTATGTATATCATTTCTGAATGTAATCTTTTGGTAGAGGTATGGGGGAGTTTTAAAAAGGATTATTTTATGGAAGAGAGTTACAGCATGGAGTTTACGTCTGCTTTTCATATCGAGCCACTTTGCACTGGCCAACTTGTGAGATATTCTGTCATACTTTCTAATACCATAAACATACCTCAAACAGATATTTTGGACTTTTTGAATTCGGCGTTCCTCAGTACTATTTAAGCAAGGTCCGTAAACACTATCGCAGTAATTAAAATGACTAAGCACTAGTGAGTCGGTGAGCTGAATCTTAGTTTTTTCAGGAAAAATATGTCGATTAGGATATAACATTTTAAGGTTAGAATAGGCTCTTTTTAAACACTTGTTCACTTGCGATTTAAAATTTAATTCAGTATCTAGATCTAGTCCCAAATTTTTTACGGTTCTCGAATACGAAATATCGTTACCAGCTAGAGAAATATTGATTCTCTCCTCCATCTGACGACGGTACTTTCCAAAGAGCACGATTGATTTAGAAGGATTAATGGTTAGTTCGTGTCTAGTTGATTCAGATGCTAGTAAATTAAGATCATAATTTATTAATTCTTGTGCTCCTTCAAAATCAAAGTGGTCAAAAGAATACATCAATTGTGTATCGTCGGCATACAAAAATGGCTTGCAGTGTTCTAGACAACTGGTAATATTAGCCGAATAAAGAGAAAAGAGGATAGGACCCAAAATGGAACCTTGTGGCACTCCTCGAGAAATTATTTTAGTATTGGATGAGCCAGTATTAGTTTCTACGTACTGCCGTCTATTTTGAAGATAATTTTTGAGAAGATCAATAGCTTTTGGTGAAAACCCACAAAAGTGTAAAACACTTAACAAGATCTCATGATTGATGGTGTCAAAAGCTTTTGAATAGTCCAGGAGGATGAGTGCAGAAGTTGTACCATTGTCAATATTCTTTAATAAGTTATCTGTGATGTCTAGAAGTGCTGTAGTACAACTATGATCTTTTCTGAAACCCGATTGAGTTGCTGGCAATAATGCATACTTATTAATGTGTATAGTAATTTGATACTTCATAATTTTTTCCAGAACCTTAGAAAGGACTGGCAAAATAGAAATGGGCCTTAAATCGTTCATATTGGTTACGTCTTTTTTCTTTGGTAGAGGAAATACTTTTGAGAGTTTCCAAGTATCTGGAAATATAGATTGTAACAGACAACAATTTATAATATGAGCTACTATGGGTAAAATAAAGGAACAGCAATGTAATAACATCTCAATATTAATTTGATCAGCACCTGATGCACTAGACTTAATTTCTAGAAGATATTTATATATAACTGTTTGATTGACGGGAGAAAAAGAGAAGAGATATGGAAAATTGTTTTTATGATTGGTATTATAAAAGTTTATTAAGTTTTGATCTGGAGGGTTATTTGTTGATGATATGTTTAAAAAATGATTATTAATTTCATTCGGATTGTCGGCTATATCTGAAGGCAAACATTTGTGTGACGTTCTACCACAAACATTTATTTCTCTTAATTTAAACCAGACGAGCTTAGAATTATGTTTGTAATTATTAATATAGAACTCCACATAAGCTTTTTTTTCAGTTTTAATTGCGTTATTAGTTAAATTTCTAACTGTTTTATAATACTCCCAATGGTGTAGTAATTGTGTTTTCTTATATTTGTGAAGAGCTTTATCACGCAATGACATCATGATTTTTAAATTATCTGTAAGCCAGCCAGGTTTCCGTTTCTTTGTATTAATAGATTTTACTGGTGCTATATTAAACAATGGAGTTCCATAAGGTCTCTATTGAGACCAGTTTTAACTATTAATATTGCGTAAATTTAAATCTAATTTCTTCTGAGATACGAGCATATTGGAGTGCTAGAACTTTCGCCGACTATTTAGATTATTAAATTATTCTCTACCTGCATAATTTCTGGTCAGAGCCTTGCCACAAAGAAACGTTTCCGGTGTTCGTCAGCGCCGCCACCTTCAGTTCAGTGTTTGTTTCTTTAGCTACTTCCCTATCTAGCAAAGAGGAGCTCAGGTTGCCTCCGATTAGACTTATTTGTACTATGTTTAGTTGCCTGAAATAAGAACCGACTTTGTACAGCGGATACGCAACATCTACGGATGCTTTTACCTCGAAGCTATCTTCCTACAAAGATACTCATGCAAAACGTAAATATCCCCATCGCTGGTACAAACTGCAATCGCTCCATTACTACTAGCGACATCTTTGATAACGGCGTTACCCCCGCTACTAACAAACATTTCCATATTAACGCTCTTGGGACCAGTTATGAATTGGTTCTTTAATTTATCGCTGATTTTGATTCCCAATTGCCCTGCATTTAAACCCCAAGTGTACAATGCGTTAGGTCCCCATGCCACGGAATGGTATTGGCTGGCGCAAACGCCCTGTATCTCCTTCGATATTTGCTTGACGGGTTTCGGGATGAGCGACTGGTCTGGAGCCGGCACCTGGCCTAATACTTGGTACTTATTCAAACCGCAAGTGTATATCTGAAAGGATAACGTTGTTGTGTTCTGTGATTCTGATTCTAATGACATTAAACTTTTAATGAGAGAAAAAACCGTTATTTTTATTTATTTCATTACAAAATGTAATGTTATATAAGTCATATTTCTTTGATTTGTATATTTGGACAGTAAATGTCAACTTGTATTGCTACTGTCAGCTATCAGAGTATGACAACTGACAATTGATTGGAAATTTCAAGCAGCTATTTTTTTATAGAAATTAAACATATTTACATTTCCATCAGAGCACAAAAAAACGCTGTGATCTCTAGATATACTGGCTTGAATGCACGTAATGACCTCCCCTTTTTGTGGGCCATTAAATGTGACGGGTTGAGGAGAAATCGCCGATTGTTCGTCACCCAGGCCCAGGCGTCCTCCCTGCCCGTGTCCGCAAGTGAAGGATTTGCCTAAAATTTAAATAAAACTGCAGATGAACTACATGGACACGCTACTTCACAAATTCACCGCGAGATGGCGTCACCTGTCTCTAGATACTCAAAAACGAAGAAGAGAAATCTAAGAAGTGACGTAGGACCTGGGAAGATATTGAAGAAGTCTCTTTAGGCTCGAAGAAGAATAACAGTGCTTAAAACATTGAGGAGTAAAACGATATTTGCCAAAAGTGCATTAGCGCCCTTTTCTTTCTTCAGAGGCTCCTTCATATCGAACAAAAATTAATAGATCGTAGATTAGCGATTCTCTACACTAGCAGGTGCGACATCTTGCGGCTAATTTTTGAAGTAGCGAATCTGTATTTCATCTATTCAACACGAATTCCAAAAATGTAAATTTGCAATTTTTTATTACCTGAAATCGTAATCAAAACGCTGTGAAACTGCGAAATGCATATTTGCTTGACGTACTCGCCCGGGTACTTTTTGTGGAACGAATCTAAAAGATCTGGGCTGTGTTTCGATTGTTGGGGGCCCAATAAATTGTTGTTATTAGAACCCCACGAGTACAATTCTCCGCCGTGTATACCCGCCTCTGGTTTTAAACCGTCTTTCATTGAATGTTCTAAAGGCGTAAGGTAATCTAGATCCGTATCGCTTAGATTGGCACCTAAAAAAATATTTGCTTTGGTCAATTTCTGGATAATTTAAGGTTATGATTGTATAACACTGTATAACCATGGAACATTACAGATAGGTGTTTCAACTAAATTTTGTTAGCAACATCTACTCCCCCCGAGGGGGAAAATACTTCTTCCGTAATTGGCTTATTTAATCAGCGTTGCCAAGTTTGACAGCGCCAGTTCTGACACTATCTGACACATGTCAATTTCTCATTTGTATTTTACAAAAAATATTATTAATTATAACATTGTAAAGGTTGTAAATGTATATTTAAGATTTTTTATCTCTAATAATATGGTGAAAACATGCTTTATGTGTAAAAGGCCTGTTGAAAATGCTTCTTCAAGATAATATCATAAGTAAGTACAGACACAACCTAATTATCAGAGGCGGTGCATTAGGCAATCGCCTTTAATTTGCAATTAAACTTTCTTATCGAAAAATTAAAATTAAGAGCAAGTAAACTCCAGCTAAGTTCGTCTTCATCCGTCTCATTATGATATAGTAAAGGTTAATTACTTATTATTATTATTTTAATATCACATCTTTGTAAAGTTTATTGTTATTTTTTTTTAGGTTTCCTTTTCTTGATATGACAAAAAAATACATGGTTCCAAAATATAGGAATTCAACAAGTAACCACCTGAATTACTTTTTAAGCTAATGAACATTTTTATTACAGACCTCAGGGGAGGAAAATATTAAATAAAAATGCAATTTCGACGAAAGAAGTATAATAATTAATCCTGTCACTACTTCTACACTATATTCATCTGCTACTAAAATACTAAAACAGCAAGTGTTGCAGTTCAAAAAACCTAATAACCCGACACTGGCTAGTTGTCGAGAGTATCGTCAGCTAAGCATTTAAATTTAATTTTTTGTGTTGCATAATCTGCACCTCTCACGTTTCGTCAATGGTCATCACTTCTCATCCAGCATTCCATAAATATACTTTTCGTATCGATTTTAATAACATTTAATTTAAATACAATATTCATTTAATATTAAATAAAAATACAGACAGTTGTCATTCCATCAAAGCAGTTTTTATATATAATAAAAATAAGTGACTAGTTTTGTTCAACAATGAAGGGTTTTTAATTCCAAACCACCCCGCACCTCACACAGTTTGAACCGTATCCAGTAATAAGAGAGTTCAAACAGCAAGTAAGTAGAGAAACTTAAGTTTCTTTCAAAAAGAATGTTTAAGGAAAAAGGCATAGCCATTTTTTTGTTGACACTTTTTTTTAACTAATCTAAAAGACTAATTTTGTGTATTGTTTAAATTTTCATTTTTTGTACTTAATTTGTTTTAGGTTTAAACAAAATGAATTTCTAAGATATGCATGGAATATCCCAAAAGAGCTAAGGAAGGTTTTAAAATTCTTAAGAAAACTATTCAGAGCCAAAAACATAAAATAGTCTTTCTGTCCAAAATATAAATAGGTATAAATATTTAGATATTATGAGTGATTTTTATTCTATAAATAGAGCATAATTTGCTTCTAAATCACTACCTAATGAACTATATTATATAGTACAAAACTAAACAAGAATATCACAGTATTCATGTTTTTTTTTTAATTTCCTTAAAAAACGTCCCAAAAAAATGTGAATATTTATTATTGGAGTTTACATCGTTATGCTAAAACAATACTAGAGCAACTTAAATACTGTGGATTTTGACTATTTTGAGTTATGCAGATCATTATGATCTAAAAAAATGTTTGTCTGGTGCTATAGTCAGGTATAAAAACATTCATTTATTTAAACATAGTTGCAATATACATTTTATTTAGTTTTTAAGTTAAAACCTATTAGGACATCCTAAAATGACTTTTTTCGTTTGATGTGAGATTAGTTATCCTACATTTTTGTTGGTAAAATAGGATATATTAAGATGTCTTACTGTTTTCTCTGATTATCAAAAAAGTTAGAACAATATACAAAGACTGTTATAACAAAAAAGAGATATACCTTTACTTAAACACACAATTAGTCAGTTCAATTGTACGATAATTTAAAGCAGAAATCCAGAAAACTTTAAAAACGTGTTTAAATGTGTTTTTACTATAAGGCCATAATTATTAAAAAAACATATTGATGATAGGTTTTTATAATATATATTATACAAATCACAACGAACTACACAAAATGACATTATTAATAATTTAGCAATAAAAAAGTTAAGTACAATGATTACATTAAAAGTTGAGTTTTTTTAATTACTTTTTTTAAATTATCTCAGTACCTACCAGTATTTTTCTAGCACAATGATATTATATGAATGTGCATTGTGTGATTCTTATATTTTAGGAATAAAATGATATATTTTTTGCAGGTTTCTGTTAACAACGATTCCAAGAACTTTTGAAAATATTATTAAAACGGCCTTTGCAAATATAATTCACAATTAAGAGCATTTTGATCTAACATTAAATTTTTATTCTCCATAATGTTACAGCTTCTTAAGAAGAAAGTTTAACAAGACTTACCAGACCCAAAATATCAAAATTTTACCAATCAATTGATGGTTCTACTGGTTTCCATAGGAAAATTCTCCTCGAAACTACTAAAAGAAAAGTGGCAGAGGCAACCGAAGAAGGCAAAAAGTCTTTTGCAAAACAAAAACTAGAAATTTGTTTAAGAATCTAATTATTATTTGAAGTTTTACCATTAATAATTTTTGATAACGATTTAAGATTATGAAGTTCTATTATGTATTTTACTCTTTGATAACCTATGTTTAAATTTTTATTAGGACCAAAATAAATTATAATTTTCATTTCAACTACAAAAACCCTCATAATATTAAAAAGGGGAAAAACGTTAGATTAGTTATGTTCAGGAATAAACTCTTTAAACATTTATCTACTTAAAATGTGTTACTTTTAGAAGGTATGTTATTAACTTTCTATTTGTACTTGTATTAATTTATTTCATTTTATTATCTGTTGTATTTTCAAATTGATTTTGATATTCACATATATGTTTTTTTCATTGAAACAAACGTTTACTAGCTTATTAAATATAATGAATTCATGTTGTTTTATTATATGCTTGCATGAATGATTACTTTTATTTTCTTTTAAAAATGAATTTCGAAGATAAAGCCGAAACGGTGAGTGAGAATAAAAAATTAGACGAAAGTGACGAAATTTACTGGAGCTTTCATCTACACTCTCCTTTTTCTAGCCATCTCTGAGCCAGCAAGATTCGTCATCCCTCCATCCTTACATTCTCCAGATTTACAGAGAAAACGCCGTCCTCTTTAACATATCCATACCTTTTTTGACGGGGACTATACCACTACTTTACATTATCACTTTATCACAGCTTTATTTTTTATTCCGAGCAATTTAAATGTATTTGTAATTGTTCATTCTCACCTCTTCTCTTGTAGATTCCGTACTCAGTTTTTTTATTTTTAGTTACGTTTGCACTGCTCTTTTATTTTCACAGCTTTAATTCTATAATGCTGTAACGCTACAATATGGATCCATTTTTGTGGTTTATACTATTTAATATTATTCGTAAGTGACCAAACCTATTATAATAATTATACAGTATGGTTTAAATGAAAGGAATAAATTCATTATAATGGAAGAAGTTGGTTTTTCGAAAAAATGCTCGGACAGGTCAATTTTGTTTACTCAAAGCGCAATTTTTTAAATAGAATTCAATTTTACCCCACTTCACATTTTTGGACAGTGACGTCATTGACAATTTTTTTAAATAGTAACCCCAATTTCTTTTTCTTGAAACATAATATTTGAAATATCTGACATAACAATTTTTTTTTGAATAAAAGTCATTTAAAGATCAGATACATAAATTTTATTTTATTTTGAAACACAATAAATGAATAAAAGATTATTTGTAATTAAGTGCTTCATCTAACAAAAAAATAATAATAATAAAAAGAATTTAATGACAATTTCACAAATTCTTTATTTTTATTATTATTATTATTATTATTAATAATTATTTTGTTAGATTAAGCACTTAATTACAAATAATTATCTATAAATAATAAAAAATTAATAAAAATTAATAAAAATTAATAAAAATTAATAAAAACTAATAAAAATTAATAAAAATTAAAAAAAAATATTAAAAATTATTAAAAATTAATAAAAATAATTAAAAATTAATAAAAATTATTAAAAATTAATAAAAATTAATAAAAATTAATAAAAATTAATAAAAATTAATAAAAATTAATGAAAATTAATGAAAATTAATTAAAATTAATTAAAATTAATTAAAATTAATTAAAAATAAAAAAAAACAATAAAAATTATTGAAAAATTTTAAAAATTAATAAAAGTTAATAAAAATTAATAAAAATTAATAAAAATTAATAAAAATTAATAAAAATTAATAAAAATTATTAAAAATTAATAAAAATTAATAAAAATTAATAAAAATTAATAAAAATTAATAAAAATTATTAAAGATTAATAAAATTAATAAAAAATAATAAAAATTAATAAAAATTAATAATAATGAATAAAAATTAATAAAAATTAATAAAAATTAATAAAAATTAATAAAAATTAATAAAAATTAATAATAATGAATAAAAATTAATAAAAATTAATAAAAATTATTAAAAATTAATAAAAATTAATAAAAATTAATAAAAATTAATAAAAATTAATAAAAATTAATTAAAATTAATAAAAATTAATAAAAATTAAATTAATAAAAATACTTAAAATAATAAAAATTAATAATCATTCATTTTTTTAAATTATAAACACGACACAACGCGTGCAAAGCCGCGGGCAAAAGCTAGTTCAATATAAAGTGAATCAAAAGAGCCTGACGCGGCCTTACACGATACTGATGCTGTCAACTGACAACACAAAATTATGCCTAACACTGCGTCAGTCTTATGTGACTGACATATCAAAATAAATCACCAAAAAATTAGTATGCCGGCAGTCAGAGTGTTAATTTATTTAGTTTTTTAATTCACACATAAATGTTCTTTAAAATTGATTAAATATTCTTCATTATGACATAGTGTGAACCGAATACAGCTGTAGGAAGGGGTATAACGAGTTAAACATATATGTAGGTACATATTTTTTGATAACCATTCAAGCCATTCATGTATCAGTGGACTTGTAGATGCATTTAAAAATTTAACATAAAAATATTCTTTTTATAAAACCCTTTGTAGGTTGAAAAATTGTAAATCAGCAGATACTAACTTTAGTTAGGAGTAGGCATTTGAGATTATTTTATAAAATTATTTTAAAGACTGAAATTTGTAAACCAGTACAAAAATCATTTTCAATATCGAATATTGGACCTTTTCTTATTTGTTCGCCTGGAGGGAATTAAAGAAATTGTAGAAAAAACTAGTTGTTTTGATTTAGACTTTGTTTTTTTAGTTTCTTTAACATCAAAATTAAATGGCGTCCACTATTAAGTTTTCAGAACCCATGAACCCTGTTTCCAGACTATAGAACTGCTGTGTTCTTGTAACCATTCGTTTCCCTATGCATACCATTTCAAAAAGGGAACAAAAAGTGTTACAATCAAGACAATAGCATTAGTTTTTTCAGACGGAATTTGCACCCGATAATTTTCATAACAAAAAAACTTTAATTAACAAATCAGAAGGCAAGGGCGATTGCCTGTGTGTTTGACATTGCCCGAGTCTTCAGATAACATGTGTGTTTGTTTATCAATAAATATTAATACTAATAGCTACTTTTTCTAATTTCTTCTAATGAAAATCTACAAATTATAAAAGATATGGATGTCACTACTGATAGATATATTATCACTAACATTTTGCGACACTTAAGGTTTTATTAGAAGGTATAGGATATTTATAAGGGATTTTTAAGGAATTTTAAGTTTTATTGCAGTTTTTCTAGTTTTATAACAAAACCATGAATGTTACAAGTTTTGGAAAGAATATTTAAATAAATATCTAGAATTAAGTGTAATTTTTTGAACTGCATCTATGACTTATCACTTTTATAGTATTTAATAGTTAGCAGGACAAATGAAATTGTCTTATTTCAATCACTACACATTTTACTATAAGTTGACAAAGTTTTACTAAAATCCCTCCAATAAAGAATAAGTACTTTATAAAATTGTAAACCTCAGATTAATTAGACCATGTAAAATTGTTAATGTGAATGTTCTAGATTTTATATATATGCTCTCTGTTCATATTTTTTTTTACTAAGTGCAGTTTATTTTATTTTAAAACTTACTATTATATAAAATGATGTACAATACTGCTGATCTTGAGGATGCATTCTTAAATGAGCTAAATAAAACAAAATAATACATATAAAATACACCGAAATGGCAGCCTTTCTTGAAGATTTTTCAGAATTATGCTCAATTCAGTCATTTGTTTTGTTTCAAAGTTGAAACACCTATAATAAATTGTTATTCATCCTATGTACAACACAAGAAAAACTTACCTAATTTAATCAATTCCACTGCTATATCCAATTTCCCATAAAATATACTCCTGTGCAAGGCTGTATACCCAGATTCCCTATCTTTAATGTTAATATCTGCATGTCTGTTGCGAACCAGCCATCTGACTAGGTTTAATCGTCCACAAGAGGCTGCAACATGTAGAGCAGTTCTACCAGAAGAATCCAAAACAGTTTCGCAACGACTACATGTGTAGTTCAAGAACGAACACAAATTTGTGTCTGAAATACCTCGTTTCGATATAGCATCTGTTATAATGTCACCATGTATTGTTGATTTACACTGATTCGTGCATTCTCTGTCAAAGGTGCTGCTGTTCATAACTGCAATGAGAAATTCCCTTAATAAGAATTAAGAAAATTCAATTTTAACTAAGAAAAGTTGCTAAGTTCACTAAATAGTAATAATAAATTTATTTATTCTTTTTTACACAATATAATTTTAATAGGTAGCTAGATAGGTGTAAATAAATGAAAAAAAAACTGATATACAATACCTAATTAATAATAATAATAATATTAATAATAATAATAGTTACTAAAAGTATAAAGCTTCAAAAGTTTGAGTGTTAATACATTATACAATAAATTAAAATAGTAGTTGTTATAATTATTATAAAGCTCATAAAGTGGAAGATTTTAATGCAACATATATACAAATATAAAATACTGGATCTACAAATTTTTAAATACTAAATAAAAATAATATTTAAGATTTGTTTACCTGAATATATCCCAATAATTTAGGAGTTTTTGAATAATTTGTAATTAATTTTAATATTTAACTGCGATATATCAGAAAACAATTTTTTCAAATCCCTGAAATAATTTAAAAATGATGAAATATTATTCAATTTTTGAATCTAATTCTAAAAAAATTAAATAACCTCCAGACCAGCTGGCTAACAACAGCGACACAAGCTGTCAGTGTCCAGTGTCAGCATCAGCTGTATCGCTGTGCCAGCTAATCCGAAATATCTATCCAACCAAGGAACGGAACCATAATTAATTTAATATTGAATGTTCATAATATACTGTAAAAAACTCATTAACAACTGTAAATTCATTAATTCAAATCTAGAGTTACTTAAACAGAAATAAACTTAAGAAGAATTCCAAATCATATCGAATTATTTAAAATTACTATATTATTCCTGGCATTAGTTCGGTAATATAAGCACTACCTAATTATTATTTAGTTGCCAAGTGATTCTCAGAATACAACCTACTGCACCCTGCTGTTATGAGTGTTGCATACGTAATAGGTCTTAGGCTCAAATGAATAAAGTAAACTCTTTTAGAACAGGGTTTGTTTAGTCGGAACAAATGATGTCTAAGGTCGGAACACTAACAAACCGAAGGATAGGCGAGGTGAGAGGGAGGTTGTTTACATTACATAGGCGTATCATAAATTTATTTTAATATGATAGGAATATTATTGAAATTTAATATTTTTTAATTTGGGTATTTTCATTATTATAAAATGTATATATTTGTTAGTTTAAAATATACAAAAATAACCTTTTTAAGTCTTTATTTAAATATAATACAAATTTTTTATTAATGACCGACAATTGTTAAATTATCTTTGAATATTTGTAAGTATCGCAGATCTATGCAAATTTATGAATTTTACAACAAAAATCTCGCAGATGATTTAAAGATTTTTAGTAGAAACAATGGCAATAACTCCGCATTAGTCTGACCTAAATAAGTTTGTTACCCAGTCTAAAAATAATGCTCTTTCTATAAATGTTTGTGCAACCATGCATTTTACATGATCCTCTAATCCAGTGGTCGCCAACCTGTCGATCGCGAGCTACCGGTAGCTCGCGGAGGCAATTCTGGTAGCTCTCACAACGATTTTAATTTAAAAAATACAAACTGCAAAAATCAGAGAAGCTTCCGAAAATTCAACAAAAAATCTAATTGTCATAATATTAAACATAAACAGCGGCAACGTTGCGGTGAGCGATCTGCCACTGACGCCATCAAGCTAGAATCGGCTAGAACCGACCAGCCGGACCAGCGCGTTAGTGTTCGAGAACGATCAGGATTACTTTAAAATAAGCACGGCGCGGCGACATTGCGCTTAGTTTAAAACTGAACGCGTAACCAACGTCCAGCGGTTGGGTTAGTAGAGAACAACAAAAAATAATATGGCAAGCAGTTGTAAGAAGGTAAAGACATACCACTTTCATTCGGAATTGGAAGAACAATACTTTTTTACAGAAGTTAAAGATAAAAATGTGTGTTTGTTATGTAATACTTCGGTCTCCGTTGCTAAAAAAGGAAATATTGAGAGACATCATAAAACTGTACATTCTAATTTTGAAAAATCATTCCCACTACATTCTGCCGCCAGAAAGGAGAAACTGAAACAGTTAAAAAAGCAGTTAATTAGACAACAATTAATATTTTTAAGAACAGTCAACAAAAATAAGGCTGCAACTGAAGCATCGTACCGTGTGTCCCAGATAATTGCACAAAAAAAGAAACCTTATGAAGACGGGGAAATGATAAAACAGGCGTTTTTAGAAGCTGCTGATTCGTTATTTGCCAACTTTAGAAATAAAGACGAGATAGTTTCAGCTATAAAATCTACGCAACTTTCTGCTAATACAGTGATGAGACGTATAGAAGTAATGAGCAATGATATTTTTTTACAGTTAAGAACTGACATAGATAACTGTTTATTTTTCACTTCAACTGGATGAATCAACAGATGTCGTTAACACTGCCCAGATGGCCGTGTTCGTCAGGATGGTTTTTAGTGATTTTACGATTAAAGAAGATCTTTTGAAGTTTATTCCACTGAAAGGATACACTACAGGACAGGTTTTCTCATTTAAAAAATATTATTTCTTCCGAGAAAATTCCAATATCGAAAATGGTAGGATTGACAACCGATGGCGCTCCAGCTATGGTGGGTTGTGATAAGGGTCTGGTGGCGTTATGTCGTAAAGATGAAACTTTTCCCCAATTTCTCTGTTACCACTGCATTATCCATCAGCAAGCATTATGTGGAAATTTCCTGAAACTAAACAACGTTATGAAACTGGTGGTAAAAATTGTGAACAAGATTAGAGCTCAAGCGTTACAAAGAAGATTATTCAAAACCTTGGCCGATGAAGTTGACTGTCAATACGGGGACCTACTCCTTCACTCTGAAGTCCGATGGTTAAGTAGAGGACGGGTACTGAAACGTTTTAATGATGTCCTATCAGGCATAGTTCAATTTTTCAAACAACGCGATGAACCGACTCCGAAACTAGAAAATTCAATCTGGCTTAGAGATTTTGGTTTTTTCGTGGACATTACAGAGATATATTAAACGAACTTAATTTGCAGCTTCAGGGGAGAGACAAAAAACTAGCGGAAATGATTTCTGATATAAAAGCATTTATCAAAAAGCTGGAGTTTTGGGAACAAAACCTAATTAACAGTAATGCCAAGCATTTTCCTATTCTTTCAGAAAAAATATCTCAAAATCCATTAGAACCCTATGACAGCAAATATCATGTAGAAATAGTTTCTACCCTGAAGAATAACTTCTAAAATCGTTTGAAGGATTTCAACGAAATGGCTTTAGTAGCGCAGTTTGTTGTTTCACCCTTTATGGAAATTGATATCCAACAGTTTGCAACTTTATGATATAGGTAATTTTGGTTCAATCTACTTATTTTAATCTCACCAACATACATAGTAGCACTATGTACACCGAATTTTGGGACACCCTGTATTATTTTGAAATTAATGTTTTTTGTATACATCTAAAATGTTTCTGCATTCTTTAGATTTACGTAAAATGTACGTCTCTGGTATATTTACTTGAACATCTTTTAATGTCTCTCTCTATGTTTCATTTATTGTTTCTTCTCTTTTGATTTTAATTTAATTTAATTTAGATACAAAAAGATTAATTTATTTTAATTATAAGTTGGTATTTGGACGTTTTTTAATCTTCTGGCCCACCGTGCGATGCCGACGTCGCTTCGCCGAGAGAAGAGACCGAGCATCGAGCGCAACACAGCCACCCAGGATTTCCCAATATAACCCGCGTAGCCAGAAAACACACTCCCGACCCGTCAACAGCTGATCCGGCGGATCCCGGCGACCGACGCCAGTACAAGCGTCGCGGCGGTACGGGACGCACACTCTCGACGACATCCTATTCTTTTCTATCCCTTCCCGATCGGAACACGTGGACTAGCGACGACGACAAACGCCACAAGAACTTTCTGCGAACTTTTTTTCTTTCGATTGGTTCGGTACTTTTTTCACTTCTGGGTATCCGATGTGATAAAATTGAATAAAATTGTAATTGAATTGGAGTTTATGAAGCGAGACTCGTTGTGTTTTGGTATTTTTTAATATTTTGCGTGTTTGCCAAAAGGATTGCTGGTGAGTGTACATTACACTATTATACTTGTAATAGCTTTTTTTAATAGCCGGATTACTTAAAATTTATTTTAAAATCTTTCAAGACGTCGTTCGATAAATAATTTTGTGTACGAAAAAAGATAATTTGATTTGGGTTTTTGAACAGTCAAATGTTTTTAAACTTCATAGGAAACTTTACTACTTATAAAGTATTTTAGTTAAAGTTCAGATCACTGAAGGCTGAAGAAATAATGATTTAACTTGTTATTATTAATATACTTTTATTTTCTTACTAACTCCATCTCTGTGTGTGTATTGTAGGAAGAGTAAAATAGAAAAATAATTGGGTGTTGGTTGGTGAAGAGGTTGGATTAGAAACGAGTCCATTGACCACATATTTTTGGAGGGTTATATCTATTTTAACCCTACAGCGGTATCGTACGTAAAATTTACGTGTGGTTTGTAGCAAAAGGGCCCTCTCCACTAATTCTTAAGTCGCGATCTCGAGCTTTCAGCAGTGCCTCAGAAAATATCCACTTGTGAAGATTTCTAGGTATTAGAGTTGCAACTATTTAGCAAAAGAAGATGTGGCTTGATTTTGTAAAGTATACACGTAAAAAATACGCATCGATACCAATAAGCAGTTATTTGTTGTACGTTTATCAGACGTGTCGCCAAGCTTAAAATTTTAGGCTTCGCTTATTTCTTAACGACTGTCACTGCAAATGGCCCTATGTGTCTTTTACAATATGATAAACATCTTGCATCAATTTATACATAATTTAGTCACACAATATTGAAGGATTAGGTGGTAAAAATTTAACACGTTTTGAGTACTTCACAAAAGTCTTACTAAACCATGGCAATCACAACGTCAACAAATAGGATACCTAAATACAGTAAGTGCAATAGATATTTAAGAAACTTTTTTACCCAGTAAATATTTCAAAGGGGAGGGGATCAAAAAGGGACCTTTGCCACCTTTGTCCTACATTAAAGGAAAGAATGGCAACTACGTACTGCGTAAAATGTACCAAAACAGTATGTGGGGAATACCAAATAAAAATATGCACGTGTTTCAATAAAATAAAATGAAAAAATGTTCTCTTTATTTTTAAATTCATTTACTGTAATTTTTTAATTTTAAAATATTGTTTTGTTATTAAAATATGTTAAAAACACTATTTTATGTTTCGATAAAAAAAAATGAAACATGAAACAGGTAATTTCACAAAGTTTACATGTAAAAATTTGCGAATGCGTAAATTTTACGTGTCCATACCAACAAGCGGTAGAAATTAAACGATACCGTTCTAGGGTTAAATTATGTATCCAACTGTATAGGAAAAACACAATATTTATTTTTATTTATTGGTAAGAGGTAGTAAATGAGCATTATGAACTGGAAACTATACATTTATTTTCCCTAATTCTTCATGCAAGGTTTTATTCTCTTCTCTTTTTTTATAATAAAAGAATATGTGATTTATGTCACATATATAGTAGAATCGTAATTGACACGGAGTAATAAAT